CGGTTGGGCAGATTAATTTGTCGCGAGGAAATTGCGATTTGTACCTGCAAAAGACTCATTTAGGATGGGTTGTCGCAGGAGGCCACGATTATTCGCAAGACAATTCAGTTTCATGTAATTTACTGGATTTGAACGAACAGCTAGCACGATTTTGGCAGATCGAGGATGTCGGGGGAATATCGATACGCGAGCAAGAAAATAACGAATGCGAAGCACATTACGTCAAAACTACAACGCGCAATGAAGAAGGTAGATACATCGTTCGATTACCTTTCCGAGATCCAAGAGTTAATTTAGGAAATTCGCGTAATCAGGCGTTACGCAGATTTCAAGCCTTACAAAAGAGCTTCCAAACAAATCCTCAGTGGTACCGGGAATATTCTAACGTGATAAACGAGCATTCTAAGAGAGGATACGTATCTCGCGTACAGAACGATTCATCGAAAGGTTATTTTCTCCCTCACCACGCGGTGGTTATAGCATCTAGTGCAACAACAAAACTTCGAATAGTATTTGACGCTTCAGCTAAAACCGATACCGGTAGCTCGTTGCATAGCGCGTTAATGACGGGTCCCACGATACTACCAAAATTATTCGAGCACCTACTTCGCTTTCGTAGTTACCGATACTCTCTCATAGCTGACATAGAAAAAATGTATTTGCAAATTCTTATGCATCCATCCGATCGAAAATATCAAAAATTTTTCTGGTTTTTCGAAAATAAAATCGAAATTTTTCAATTTAATACCGTAACTTTTGGAGTATCAGCTGCAGCTTTTTTGGCGATTCGTACGTTGCAATTAGCTGAGGATGAAAAGGGAAAATTTCCTCTTGCCAGCGCTATCGTGCGTCGAGATTTTTATGTAGACGATTTTTTGACGGATAGCAATTCTTTGGAGGAATTAGCACGAATTCGGACTGAAATTACAAAGTTACTAGCTTGCGGAGATTTTAACATTCGCCAATGGGCATCAAATTGTAATCAAACAAATGAAAATAACGTGAACCGAATTTTCGAATCAACGGATCAAGAAGCCGAACAATCTGTTCGAAAAACATTGGGCATTGCGTGGGATCCAAAGTCAGACAATTTTAATTTTACGGTTAAACCCATTGAATTGTCAAATAAGATTACTAAAAGATTTATCTTATCAGAAATCGCTAAAATTTTCGATCCGCTTGGTTTTTTGGGTCCTGTAATTTTATCACTTAAAATAATAATACAGGAATGCTGGAAAGCCAAAGAGAGTTGGGATGAAACGGTCCCTCAAGCGCTATATTCTAAATGGGTATTATTCGCTGAGCAGTTGGGTTTAATTAAAGATTTGTCGATACCGCGTTTTTTGCTTTTGCCAGATTCAGTCACAATTGAAGTGCATGGGTTCTGCGACGCTAGCAACCGCGGATATGGTGCTTGCTTATATATTCGATTGATAGACAAAGAAGGACAAATTTCAGTTAATTTAGCTTGTGCCAAAACTCGCGTTGCCCCAGTCAAAAATGTTACTATTCCGCGACTTGAATTATGCGGTGCAGTGGTTCTCGTTAATCTATTCGACGAAGCTAAACATAGTTTTAATTTTTCAATCGATCGCGTTGTATTCTGGTCAGATTCTGAAATCGTTTTGCAATGGATAAAAAAGGATCCTCAATCTTTAATGATATTCGAAGGAAATCGCGTTGCAAAAGTGCAGAGATTATCAGAGGGCTGTGAGTGGCGTCACGTGCGGAGCAAGGACAACATGGCAGACATCTTATCTCGCGGTCAATCGCCTATCGAATTTATGCAAAATAGGACGTGGTTCGAAGGGCATCCATGGATACGGCAATCGAGTGATACGTGGCAAAAGTCTAGGTTAAATATGAGAATAGAGTTGCCGGGAATTCGTAAGAGTGCTTGCTTGCTTGCTGCATTAGATCCGGAACCGTTTTACAAAAAGCTTTCGTCTTTTTCAGTAGTAATTACTACAGGAGCTTATTGCATGCGCTTATTTAAACGCTTTAGGGTAGCTGAAAGGCCGAAAACTTCAACTGTTACTTCTGAGGAACGTCTCGAGGTTGAGCGGCGGTTACTACGAGCAATACAGCTCGAGCGGTTTTCTGTAGAGATTAAGCTATTAAGAAACGAAAGAAATTTAAGTTATACTAAGATTGCTGCTCTTTCTCCTTTTCTTGACGAGCACGGGCTCCTTAGAGTAGGAGGTCGATTGGGTAATTCGCAGATTCCTTACACACAAAAACATCCGATTTTATTGCCATCGCGACATTACGTTACCGATCTCATAATACGTGAAACGCACGGTAAATTACTGCACGCCGGTATTCAAAATACGCTGTATCAACTTAGGCTTAAGTATTGGATCCTAGACGGCAAAAATCAAGTCAGGAAAATCATAAGAAGTTGCGTTACATGCATTCGCCATCGACCAATACCAGTTCAATGCAAAATGGGAGATTTGCCTAAAGCACGCGTGACGCAGGCAGAAATTTTTGACCGTGTTGGCGTAGATTTTTTGGGGCCAATTTCAATAAAAGAAAAGAAGGAAAGAAATCGAGTCGTGCTTAAAGCTTACGGTTGCATTTTTGTTTGTATGGTGACAAAAGCCGTGCATATCGAGATAGCTACTGATCTCTCTACCGATACTTTCTTAGCTTCCTTTCGAAGATTTATTAGTCGCAGAGGTCGACCTTCGCATGTTTACTCCGATAACGGTACAAATTTCGTAGGCGCGAATAACAAGCTATGCGAGTTATACGAATCATACAGGACGGAGCAGCATCAGAAGCAAGTTTCTGGCTACGCGTTATCTGAGGGCATTAAGTGGCATTTTAATCCACCCCTGGCTCCTCATTTTGGCGGATTATGGGAAGCGTCTGTAAAATCTTTTAAACATCATTTTGAACGTGTAGCGGGAGGAAAGCTCCTTACTTTCGAACAATTAGATAAATTGGCAAAAGAAATAAAGGCTATTTTAAATTCTCGACCAATTTGCACGATTTCTAACGATCCAAACGATTCTATTTCTTTGACACTGGCCCATTTTATAATAGGACGACCGATTACGATGGCTCCTGAGCACGATTACACTTCTGTTTCAGAGAACCGGTTATCAGTATGGAATTTAGTCACAAAAGCTCGGCAAGATTTCTGGAAAAGATGGCATATCGAATGCCTCGATGAGCTTCAGAAACGACAAAAATGGTTGAGGAGTGAAGGTTCGATAAAAATCGGTTCCATCGTCATAATTATTGACAAGAAACAGCCCTGTTGCGAGTGGCTGCTTGGGAGAGTCATAGAGATCAGTCCCGGAAGCGATGGTGTCGTAGGTGTGGCAAAGGTCAAAACTTCTCAAGGAGTGTATATCCGGAGCGTTACCAAGTTGTGTCCTTTGCCCAATCGAAGAGCCCGATAATTTGCAGATTACGAACTTACACGACCACACAGAACATTTTTCTTTTTTCATTATTTTGCATTCTTGCTCTCACTTTCGCTACGGGGGGAGCATGTTTCGTAGCAAACAAAACAGTATAGGGAGTTCGATATTGATCAACATCGGCATCGTCTTCACCGATAACGTTCGAAAGAGGAAAGGGGGGTCAGCCTTTCCGCTGTTATTTTAAAAAAAAAAATGCACGAGCGTCGTCCTGACAACATGAGACAAGTGACGGCTCACATCATCTTCTTCTTTTTACGTTTTTGCTCGATTCTTTTATTTTTTTTTTTTCATTCTCCGTTGTAACTTCGACATATACGCGACCTCCTTCGGTTTGCCAAAAAGGTTACGTCGTCGGCTGTCAGTCACTCGGGTTGCTGTCTCTGTGGGCATTTTCCTCAGGAGGAGGGAGAGACGAGGTGCAACGAATTCGGCGAAAGGGGTGAGGCGCGAATATCCGAGGATACAAGTTCACGAGTTTCATATTCTTTATATCACTAGTTTTTACGAGAGTTTTGTGCTTGCACATTTCGTAATGGCGACGGCCCGGATCGGAGCTTTGTCTCAGCCGAACATCCAGGTTGGATCCACCTGGATTATATAATTCTCTTTCATCCTGATCAGGCAAGATCACGAGTTTTGTTTTCAAGACATACATTCGATATCAATTTTGCTGGTTTCTATGTTTTCATTTCCTCTTAACCTTTTCTTTTTTTCCTTTCCCTTTACACGTACATGCACAAAGACAATTGCAAGTTTTGTATTTCTCTTTTTTTGGATTATTTTGTTGTGATGTTTCAGCATATGTTTTTTTTTGTTTTGTTCTTATCGTTTTGTTAAAGAAACTCTGTAAATTTGAGTGTTTAATTAAATATAGTGTTGTAAAAAAAGAGACTTAAATTTTAATTTTAACATTGGAAGTTAGGCACAAAGAGTTTAGCAAACGCTGATACAAGGAATTATCCAGGTTCTCTGAAAGGACGAAAAGCTGCGATTCAACGATTCAATAACTTATCTTCGTGTTGTTTCATAACCAAATGTATTTGCTCGTCTAAATTTATTTTCAATCGCAAATAAACTAGTAAGAACTACGTACTATTTGTCATTATTACTATAGTCTCTCAAATAAAAGAATAACTATACAAAATTTTCTTACTCCTCTGTTCATGTGAAAAGGTGTTATTAAAACTATTAGGAGAGGCAGTAGAGCAAGGGTCTGGAGCTACTGCATGCAAAGATGAATGATCATGATTGCTGGATGAATGTGTGGATATTGCTGTGGTAGTGGCAATAGGGAGTATATCTGATTTTTCGTGTAAAACGTCAAGTGTGAGGTTATCTACAAATTCCATGGAAATATCTATATCCATCTCATCATTTCTTTCAAAACTTGCAACAACCTCATTTTCACCACGCATATTTTCATGAGTACTCCCTTTGCTTTCATAATCAGAGAAATTTACTACAATACTATCACTCAACTTTTTACCCTTCTCAAAATTTTAATGACTTATGAATTCTAATACATCTCCAATCTCAAACTCCGTGGTTAAAACATTAATTAATTGAGTATTATCATGTTGGCATGTACGACTTTTCGATAGGCAGTATATATAGTGTGAAAGACAGCGCCACAGGCAAGGTGATACTTGCGGGCCTTGTAGTCAGTACAGTGTAAGCCACCGTGCCTTCTACACCTCTCGTCGGTTCTAGCTTTATTGTCTTTGTCTGATAAGTCGGTTGTAAGTCTGTAAAGTCTGTAAATTGTATCTGGTGTGTTCTACGTCGGTCGGCANTAGCTTATGTTTTAGGTTAAGTGGTTATTTCTTTATTGACCTATATAATTATTATGTTATCAATTTTCTGCCTTTAGGGGCACTGGGTTAAATAGTTGGGATTTTAGGTTATGCGGTTATCTGTTTACTGACCTATATAATTCTTATGTTATCAATTTTCTGCCCCTCCAGTCACTGGGTTAAATAGCTTATGTTTTAGGTTAAGTGGTTATTTCTTTATTGACCTGTATAATTATTAAGTTATCAATTTTCTGCCCCTCGGGTCACTGGGTTTAATAGCTTGGGTTTTAGTTAACTGGTTTTTGTGGATTTGCCCATATAGCCAATTTGAATTCCGCGCGCTGTTCCGTCGCTGCTTTTGAGATCACTGAACCAAGGTGGCTGGACATGTGAGTACAATAGACTATAAGTAACAACTGAATAAATATATCATACAAATTTCTAGTCTTGTGAAAACGCCTTAAGGAACCTGAGCCTTGCTAAATGAACAGCAGTTTATAGTTAACGAAAGGGACGAGTTAGTGCCGTTTCCGGATCCTGAAAATAATGTAGCAGTGGTTCAGCCTCCATTGCAAGTTGTTAAAATGGGCGCTTATATTGGTGTGCTAAAAAGCTTTAACCCAACAATGGACTAGAAAAGTTATTGTGAGCGTTTAGAGCAGTATTTTAATACTAACAGTATAAGTGATAAAAATCGAGTATCTGTTTTAATCACGGCTATCAGCATCGATGTCTGTAAGACGCTACGAGATTTATGTAACCCGATTCTACCACAGAATAGAACTTACAAGGAATTATGTGACATAGTGAAAAAGCATTTTTTTACTCACATTTCAGTTTTTCAAGAAAGAAAGCAGTTTTATCGTTTGCGTCAAAAGCAAGAGGAGACAGTTAGTCAGTGGTAGTATGTACGTGTAAAAAAAGGCGCAGTAAATTGTGAGTTTGGGAATGAACTCGAAGGACGAATTAAAGACATTTTTGTTACGGGCATGCGAGATGGAAAAGTTTTCGATAGGATTTTTGAAGAGAGCCAAGCTTCAAGTTTGCGCGAGTTGTTGGAAATGGCAATACGCAAAAAGGAAACGTTAGGATTTTTAAACGATAGAAACAACATAAACAAGGTAACATCACAGTGCCCGATAAATTCCTAGTAAGGGGAAGAGTCGAGAGGCCAGTCGGTGAGAAGTGGCGGCAGCGGCGCTAAACAGCAACCGAAGTAAGCTCAGCAGGAACCAACGTGCAACGTGTGTGGAGGTACAAAGCACAATTTTTCGAAATGTAAGTATAAAGCGTATACATGTAAGGGCTGTGGTATGAAAGGCCACTTGATTAAAGTTTATAAAAATGCTGAAAGTGAAGTGTCGAATAATTTTATTGAGGACGCGGAGGGTTGTGATGAAAATTTTTCGTTGAACGAAGTCGATATTTATAATGTGCACGACGCGGTCAAGACGGCAAGGCGCGTGCCACCGGTTGAAATTAACATAGCCCTGCTTACAGCAATCACACGATCATCGCGCGATTGCCATACGATCATCTTGTGATTATTACGCGATTGACTCGCGATACTCGCGTGATAAATAGTACAGATTGCTCACGTAACAATCGCGTGATAATCGCGCGATTTTGGCGAAATAATTAGAGCGAAAAATATTATGCAATGTTTTGGTCTGCATCACTGTTTAAAAAAGACTATGGCCGATGATTTTCTAATAAAGCTTTACCTATTAATAGTATAGTATATGAATACAAGTTAGCTGTTGACATTGGTTAGATAGAACGCCATGTACTACATTTTCGATGAATTACATTCGGTAACTATTTACAGTTCGTATGTAAAAGATAAATGTTGCGTGAAAAATAATCTCTAGCTTATAAACCCGAGTGAATGTGATTTTTTTCTCGTCACTTGCCCTGAACGGCAACATCGCACATTATTTTTGCTTGATCAATCAGAGGTGGCGTTAGATAGAGAAGCCAGATTTGTAAACTACGGCAACACAACCCAATTGAGTTCTTGCTTGGAAAAGTCTATATTATTCTGCAAAATATGTATATTACTTTTTAATAATTAAGTGAATTACTTTTATAACAACAAATCATGCAATTCAGCATGGATAAAGGTTAGAAAAATAATAAAATTTTTTTTACAAGTATTAAAATATTTCCAATAACTCATTACTTTAAAAAAAACGTAAATAACAATGTTACATATACATACATACATACCCACATACTTTTTAAGGTAAGGATACACACATGTGCACACAAATTAAATATTAATATAAATATATNACATTGGAAGTTAGGCACAAAGAGTTTAGCAAAAGCTGATACAAGGAATTATCCAGGTTCTCTGAAAGGACGAGAAGCTGTGATTCAACGATTCATTTGGTGCCTCCTGTGAGGTATGGGCTTGCTGCTGCCCCGATTAACTGCATTTATTGCTACTGTTATTGCATTTATCGTTCCAAGAATATTCGCATGCTGCCCGCGCTGCGCCTCGACTTCGCAAAGAACTAGTGTCGAACGATCGAATTTCTTTTTATTTTATTTTCATTTACATATCTTGGATTTATTATTTTCAAAATTTGCTAACATTGTTGTAATACCTTTCCCAGATTTGTAATCATCAATAATTACGATTTTCGAGCCAGACACCATCGCTCCCACGGCGGACGTCTCTTTCTCCCAGCAGTCGTCGGTGCGGTAGTCGTCGAAGGATTTTTTTTAAAGGTCATTATCGCTTCATTCGTTCGAAATTTTTTTTAAATTTGTTTTGTTTTAATCATTTTTTTTTTGTGTTATTTGCCCGTATTCCGCGCAAGCAAATTCTTTTCTTTCATTTTATTATATTTTTGTCAAACAAAATGTCACTCGAAGGTCGCTTAGAGAGGGCTAAAACGATTGTCACGGTTAAAGAGGGACTGTTGAAAGAACACATAGCAGAATTGAATTATTTTTTATCAGCTGAGGTTGTCAATCAATCTCAGGTGCGAGTCAGATATGAAGACTTGAGCGTTTCTTTTAGAAAATACGAAGAAGCTCGCGAAATTGTTCTCTCCCTTTCGAAAGAACCGGCGATAGCTGACGAAGGCACAGAAATTCGCGCGCTGTATTACACTGTAGCTGGGAAAGTAAGAGAGTTGGTTAATCCGAGGTTAAATGACTCGAATTTAGAAT